CGTCCCTTTCGAAATGAAGCTCCTCGAAGATGAGAAAGTGATAGGGACAGGCCTAAGGAAAGTCAAAGGCAAAATGGGAGCCTTCTATCTAACATTGGCCGCGAACCTATTCGAGAGATTGGCACAATTTTTGGAGGTCAGTATGCTTGAGAAAAAACTAGAAATGCTCAAAGAAACTATGCAAGTAAAGCTGAGGATCTCCTTAATGGCAAGTTTCATAGTCAACAATAGTCGACCCTCAATTGGGAGAGAGATTCACCCATTACCTTCACACAAGATGATGCAATTGGCTTGCACTATCCACATTGTGACGCCTTAGTTGAAATGGTCGTTGTGGCAAAATGACCTTAAAAGAATGTTAGTAGATAATGGGAGTTCGTTCAATATCATATTTGAAGCAACCTTTGACAAAATGGAAGTTGACCATGAACTAATCCCTATGAGCTCCCCCTTATATGGTTTCTCTGGCGATAGCATCATCCCGAGGAGAAAAATCACTCTAACAGTAAAGATGGGAACGACCTCATTGATTGCTTATCATGTTATGGAATTTTCGGTAGTGGACAACCGTTCTGCCTACCATGGGGTGCTAGGAAGATCGACGTTGAAGGAATTATGGGATTTTACGTCCATTCATCACTTGTACATGAAATTCTATATTGAAAATGGCATCGCCATTGTTAGAAGTGGCCAAATGAGTGTAGTGGAATGTTATTTGAACTACCTTAAGAAGGCAGAACCTAGGAACGTCAATGTAATTTTGGTGGAAGCTGTCATAAACGACGTACCTGAACAAGAAAAGATCACTGAATAAGGGAAATACGTCGAAATTGTCAACGCTTCTAAAGAAGAGGCTGTCTTTGAAGTAATAACAGCCCCTGAAGAAGGGAAAGCTGCTGAAAAAGTGACTAACTTTGATGAATTATATCCTCGCATCATTACTTGTGAATCTCAAACAGCCCTAGTGGCAGAGTTTTACAGTAGATCCCCGAGATCGTTCCAAATTCTTGCAGATTGGAAAGGATCTACCAACAGTGGTTAAGGAGAAGTTGAAACGCTTCTTATGCGAAAACTTGGATATCTTTGCTTGGAGACATGAGGACATGGTTGCCATCAACTTAAAGGTTAGTTGTCACCACTTAAAGATTGATCATAAATATAACCTCTCATTGATAGAAACGAGGGCCATCAACCTAGAAAGGTATAAGGCCCTGAAGGATAAAGTAAATAAGTTGATTGACAATCATTTTATCCAAAAATCAACTTATCCAAAGTGCCCTATCCTTATTAAAAAACATCATGGCAAGTTGAGGGTATGCATAGATTTTTCCAATCTTAATCAAGCTTGACCCAAAGATATTTTTTCACTTCCACGAATAGATCGACTCGTTAATTCTATTTCCAGGCACAAACTACTGAGCTTAATGGATGCTTATTCAGGCTATAATCAAATCTTAATGTACCCAGGTGATAAAGATCACACTTCCTTATAACGGACAAATGTCTCTATTGCTATAAGATGATGCCATTTGGGTTAAAAACGACAGAGCCACATATTAGAGACTTGTTAATAAGATATTCACATACCTCATTAGAAAGACAAAGGATCATGTGGAGCACCTCAACAAAGTCTTTCGAATACTGCGAATGTACAAAATGAGGTTGAATCCTCTCAAGTGTGCATTCGGGTTGTCTCAAGGAAATTTTTGTGCTACATGGTTATCCAAAGGGGCATAGAGGCCAATCCTAAAAAGATAAAGCCCTGATCAAAATGTGGTCGCCCAAGAAGCCTAAAAATGTACAAAGCTTCACTAGGTGTATAGCAGCCTAGAGCCGCTTCATCTCTAGGGCAACTGATAAGTGCATCCCATTCTTCAAGGTTCTCAAGGGAGACAAGAAGTTTCAATGGACGGAAGAATGTGAAGTAGCCTTGTAAGAGCTAAAAAAGCACTTGGGACATGCTCTACTCCTTTCCAAACCTAATATTGATGAGCCTTTGCAACTAAACTTGGAAGTTACCATCGATGCTAGTAGCTCGATACTTGTGAGTGGGAAAGGTGATCACCAAATGTCTGTTCATTATGTAAGTAAAGTACTCTTTGCAGTAGAGACCCGCTATGCAGACATGGAGAAGTTAGCTCTCTCTTTGGTGACCGCCTCTCGAAAATTGAGGCCATACTTCTAGGCCCACACCATATAAGTGCTAACCAACTTCCACTCAAGCAAGTGCTCTCCAAAGAGTTTTAGAACTTAGTGAGTCAACATTGTGTTTAAGATAAGAGCTGCTCTCAAAGGCCAAGCCTTAGCAGATTTCGTGACAGAGTTTGTTCATATTCCAGAAATGGAACCTACGTACCTCCCACCTAGAACCTATTTGTTGATGGTTCATTTGGAGACATAAGATCTGGGAGAATAGTGGTCTTAGTTAGCCCAGAAGGACATAAGCTTAATTATGCTGTGAGCTTCGAATTTACAGCTATCAACAATGCAGCAAAATTGGCTAAGGAGATGCAAGTGAAGAGGCTAATTATCAGCAGTGACTCCCAGTTGGTAGTAAGCTAGGTTAATGGTAGTTTCTTTGCCACGGTTAAGAGCATGGCTGCATATCTGAAGTTGGTAATGGAACTTATTCATTTCTTTGAAAAGTTAAAGTTGGCACAAATCCCGTATGTGGAAAATACCATGACAACGCCCTTTTGAAACTGGCAAGCAGCATATATTCCAAACTACTTACCGTTGTGCCTATAGAACACTTCCTCAGACCCTCAACTTCCAAAGGTGAAGAGGTGATGTAGGTCGAAGATACCCCTCCATGGATACAACCTATCATAGCATTCCTCAAGGACCAAGCGTTACCATCTGACAAAAAGGAGGCGCGGAAGCTAAGAAGACAAGCTACAAATTTTATTTTTCAGGATGATGTACTATACAAGTGAGGTTTTTCCCTACCCTCATTCGATGTATAAGTGGAGTGCAGCCTACCTACGTTCTCCAAGAAATTCATAAAGGGATTTATGGTAATCATATAAGAGGATGAGAAATGGCACAGAAAGTGTTGAGGCAAGGATACTACATGCCTACAATGAAAAACAACTCACAACAGTTTGTTAAAAGGTATGACAAATTTTAGCGTTGAGCAACAATATAAAGACAACCCTCCTAGGAACTAAGTGTTGTTTCCAGCCCTTGGCCTTTTGCCAAATAGGGAATTGATCTTATTAGACATCTACCTAAAAAAAGAGGTAGTGCCAGCTTTGCTATCGTCAACATTGACTATTTTACTAAGTGGATAGAAACCGAACCCCTGGCCAAAATTACAGAAGCTAATACTTCCAATTTCTTATGAAAAAACATTATTTGCAGGTTGGGATCCCCCCATTCAATTGCATCTGATAGTGGGATGGTAGTTTGATAATAAGAAGGTGAGGGACTTATGCGAGGAATTAGGGATCAAAAAGCATTTCTCCTTCCCTATCATTGTTAGGCTAATGGGCATGTAGAAGTTGTCAATAAAACCATCAAATATACCCTCAAAAGAAAGTTTGATACTTCCAAAGGGGCTTGTGTGCACAAAATATCTCATGTTCTATGGGTTATCTAAACCCCTAATAGGATGGCTATAGGAGAAAATCCTGTATCCATGGTCTATGGAGCAGAGACTATGAGCCCGGTTGAAGTAGGTCTACCATCTCTTCATCACATATAGTTCAATGAAATATCTAGTGAAGAGTCGATAATGTGTGAACTTGATTTTCTTGATCAAAGAATGAATGAATCCCAAGTGAAGTTAACTACATACCAATGAAAGATAACCAGGTACTGCAATTTTAAGGTCAAGAAAAAGTCACTTCGTGTAAATGACCTTGTATAGCGAAGAGTATTCTTATCCTTTAAAGAGCTATGAGTGAGGACTCTTGGTCCCAATTGGAAGGGTCCCTACCGCATTAGAGAAGAGGTTCGACTTAGAACCTATATGATCGAAAGTTTGGGTGGTAAGGTGTGGCCTCATCCTTGGAATACAGAACCCCTAAATAGATACTATTAGTAAAAGTGTAAATACTTAGTTCGTGTACAGTTTCTTTAATTCAATAAAAGTAGCCTTGTCAAAATTAGTGAAAGAAAAGAAAAGTACCTCCCAATGACAAAGGTCCTAGATGAAGTCTCTACCTGATGAGCCTTCACCAGGCAGGGAAGTGTGAGCACCTTGACGAAGAGATGGATGCCAAAATGGACCATCTCCTTACTTGCCGGGGTGGATAGCACATGCCCCCAATGACAAAAGGCAT